AGGGTACCAACATCTCTCTCCTTCCTGAACGTTCATTGGGATGTTGTTTTTCAAATAAGAATCTGTACTTCCATCTCCTTTTAACTAGCTGTGTTTACTCCACATCAGCTCTCCCTATATCTTGCCAACACTATCTCCACATTTACCTTCTCCTCAACGTTTGTTCCATCCTTTGATCCAAGGTTATAGAATGCAATAGGATCAGACTGACCTCAATTCAAATCCCAGCTTGGACACTTGCTAGCTGTGTGACATGTGCAACCACTTTATCTTTCAGAGCCTCAGTTTTTCCAGCTGTAAAATGGGGTAATTAATAGTAGCTATCTCAATGTTGTGAGAAAAAGAGAACACATGTCAAGTGCTTAGCCCAATGCGTGGTATACAGTAAGTCTCTGATACATGGTGGCTGACACTGTTATCATTGTTGTGATCACTGAAGACAGCTGAAGCTCCATTTGTGGAATTAAGGCTCAGGGGGCTGTAATCCACTGTCCAAGGTCAGGGAGGGATCCAAAGCTTCCTGATTCTGGAAGCCTTTGCCAATCATTGACTCCTGCACAAACGACATCATTGTCCAATGACCTAGAAATCTGAGTATCTGATCACATCCAAGTACCACGGCTGATGATTTAACAAGCACTCACCATGTGCTAGAAAACGGTGCAGGCTCTATGAAAGCCTTAAGGCATCTATAGGTCAGTGTAGGAAAGTCATCTCTTTGTTTAACAGGTAAAAATGCAATTACAAAACAAAAACCTGCAGCTGCTCCTTGTGTTATCCAGTGCTGACAATTTTTCTCATCCATGTTTAAGAGGGTAGTTGAAAGTAAGACCAGTGCCCCGGCTGCCTTATCTCTGGCTTTGGAAAGGCCTCCTTGATTGGGAATGAGAGGGAGGGGGAACCTACAGTCTAGAATGGGGTCTGGCCAAGGCTAGATATAAGAAAGAAGATAGGGGTTGGCAGTAGGCTAAAAATAGGTCCCTGCCATTGTTCCAAAGAGCAGCAATTATTGTCTCTAAGGTGGGCTTCTTTCTGAACCAGGGCCTGTTCCTCCAGTGACCGTGCAAGCACTGAAACCGTGGAGCCTGGGAAGCACATTTTATCTCGAAGCATGAATCACCCTTCAGAAGTCCAGAAAAGAATCCTCTCTTTGTGGCTCTTCAATCTCCTTCTTGGCTGGCATCCCTAGATCCTCAGGGCTGGTGTCAAGGCCTTATGAAATCAGGGTGAGTGACCTTTCTGATGGAAACAGACTATTCCAGAAACTCACGTGACGGGTTGCCTCTTAAAAACTGAAAAGAAACAATGAATGAACAAACCAGCTAGAAAGCATTCGTCATTCAAGTCCAACGGCGGAAGCAGTCAGGAATGGCTAATCCACTGTGTTCTGAATGTGGGGCTTCCAAAGTAGAAAGGAATGGCAGCAAGTGCTCTCAGATTATGCCTCCTGATCTATTAGATCTCCCTACATTAGGCTGGGATTTGACAATGCAAGTCTTATTTTTTTTTAAACTGTTGTGCTTCTAGGGGATGGAGCAGCAGGAAGGAGCACTCTGAGACCCAAGTCTTGCCCATGTAGACTGCTGGCCCTAATTTCAAGGATGCTGTCCCTTCTACAATATGAGTCACACTGGAGCCAAGAGCCCTGAAAGGATATCAAACCCTCTCTTGGGGAGCCAGCAGGGTAAAGGATAATGGGGAGCTGGATGTTCAGAAATTGGCAATAACTTGGGTTCCTCCTCAAATGTCCAGACAGGACTGTGATCAACCCCAAAGATAGAAGCACCAACATCAGAGGAGGTTAGAAAGTTACCTTTCAGAGCCATCTTTTGAAGGAGCAGGGGACCAATACCACTCTGTGACCTCAACCCCCACAAAATTTATAAATAGGAGGATTGATGTTAAAATGAACATTGAGGACAGCCTTAGGGTGGAAGAGAGTGGGAGCCCACAGCTACAGGATGGGTGTGAGCACAGGGAAGGGAGCAGGCCTTCCGTTTATCTGGGAATGAGACACTACTTATTCAGCTTCGGCTCTATCTGTGGATGTGAGTTGCAGGGATAAAAGCCACTTCCTTTTCCTTAAATCACAGCAGCATGGAACATCCCACAGTGCAAAGTCTGAGTGAGCCACATGTACACTGGAAACCAAACACATGGGTACCTGAACTTCATCAGTGCATCTTCATCTTATAATGAAAACATGTAAACTTATTAGGGTCTCCTCTAGTACTTGAGCCTAAAACACCACTAGATCCCAGGAAAGGAAAACTTGCCCAACACAGACATTCACACACATCACAGCCACTGTGCAAACTCTGTGTGACTCCGTTTTTCTCAAGGGAAATCATAACCAAAAGTATTGCCTCTTAGCTCTTTCCCAGAAATCCGCTCACATTTTACTTTCAAATACAATGCCTCTGATTTCTGAGAGGTAGTGGTGGAGAAAGCAGAAGACCTGGCCAGAAAGGCTATATTTCTTCCTGTTTGGAACATCAGAATCCCTTCTGATATTCCCTCCTTAGCCAGGTGTTACCACAAAGGGAGCTGAGAGTTTGCCAAGTCAGAAATTACCACACCTTAAAAGGAATGTGCCTGCAATAAAAGGGGAAAAAGGAAAGAAAAAGAAAAAGAAAACCCAAACCCCCCTTGTCTAGAAATTGGGACTGAGGGGAGGAGCTAGGAGGAAAGTAAAGGGATATAAATTTGAAAACTGCCAGGCTGTGCAAGGGTTAGATTTCCCTTCCCTCAAGGACAGCCAGATCTGATACGGTCTCTGATAAGACCAAACAGCTTCACTTTACCTCCCGTACCCAGGTCTCAACTTTTAACAACAGAGTCCCCAACATCATTGGAGACCCTTCTCAGAGCTTGGAAGGGGACTTTCACTGATGTCCAGGCTGGACACCGTCTAGCCAGGAAAATTCCTACTAGGAAGGAACTCAAAGATACCTGGAGAGCAGAGACAGACAGAAAAACACTTGCGGCCTGTGTGCTTCTGATTAAAAACTACACTTTTAAGCCAACACTGAGTTTTCTCTATTACAAAAGCTGTAATTTAGCCCTTTCCTGCAACATGACACCTTTCCCTTTAGAAACAATATATAAATCTGATACAAATGAAATAAACCCAGTATACGTTTCCCTAAGTCATTTAATGTCTTCAAGGACCCAAGGCTCTTAAATCACTTTACAAATTGTAAAACTTCATGCCTCATCACCTTAAGAGAGAGAGTCGGGGAGTATCATTTTCCCATCTTACTGTCAGTACATCTGAGGAACAGTCCATGGAAAAGCCCTTCTTTCACCATTGGGGTTGGGGAGGTCAGGCCTCCATATTACTATCAGCTTTGAATAAGTAGCTTGGGATAAACCCAATGGGGTGCTAAGCAATAATCAACCCTGCCCATTTAGAGGACAAATGTCCCTACAAGTGGGCTGGTGGTGCTCTGTGGTCTAGCACCTGTATCTGACTTCAGCCACAACTTCTAGGGCCACAGATCTATGGCTCAGGGGACTTCATTTTCTCCCGCTACCCCTTATTGGTGCTGGAACCTCCCTTACTCCAGTGCCTTTGAGGGGTCAAAGTCAACACTAAATCAGCTTGTCATCTGGCCTCCAAGGACCTGTTGCCTCCCAGTTATCCGTCTCTCTCCCCAAATACCAAGCCTTGGGGTGAAAGACCAAACTTCATCCCAGCCCACCCCCTCCAATGTCTCTAGAATAACATGGCCCGCCCCTGACCCAACCACTTGTATCATTAGCCCAGTCACAGGAGCAAGCAAGAGTCACCCAACAGTCCAACCCCCCACCCCCAACCCCAGTGCTTTCTGTCTCCACAGGCAAGCAGATGTAGTTCTGCCTTGCAACCAGGGGGGAAACTCAACTCTCAAAGGTCTGTCCTTTCTGAGAGGAAGAAAGGCGAGGGGCAGACCTGTCACCGAACGGAAGCCAGCGGTCACATGCAAGCCTGCATGCGGCTGGAGACACCTCATTCCTTGAGACACAAGGTCGGGGACCAGGGATCTTGGTCCTGGTCCATTTGTTCTATAGAGAGAAACACGGTATACGACCCTCAGGAAGCCATTCAGCCCTCACCTCCACCCTTCTTCCTGATTATAGCAAAAAAGGGAAACCCAGGCCTCCTGATGACCAAAGTCTGAAGACCATGGTAACAGCTCATGTGTTAGTAGGTGCTGAGAACACTTTTGAATTGGCGAGCAGAGCCCCCAAGGTTACACTGGCACGGCTCCCTGGTACCCTGCTCTCTTTCTCCAGGGGGTTTGAAGCCTTATCAGAACAACCTGCCGCCCTAAACTCTGTACTTGAGGCAATCAACCATATCCCAGAGGAAACCTCAGAGAAAGTCCCAGGAAGGAAGGAAAGGGGGTCAGCTTCTGACTGGGCACAGAAAGAGGGAAAAGAAGACACCTGGGAAAGAGGCCAATGTCTCCCTGCCCTTGCCATGAGCAGGCATGTAATGGTCCCCATCTCAATCCTGCATTTCCCACCAAGGACCGGAAATCGGAGAGGGCAAACAGAGAGCTGGGGGCCAGGAGGCTGGGCTGGGGACCCCAGGGCACTGACTCGGAGAAGGGAGGACAGACACCTAGGTGTGCAGTCCACCATCACCCAGTTTTTCCATGCACCCTCGGGAGAAGGCGGCAGGGTCATCTAGGCACGGTTCCATCCCTTTCAGCAAAGTCCTCAGCCCTCAAATTCAGGACGGTCGGTGTTTCCCACTCCCATGCCCTGGCTCCCTAGCTTCCACTCAAACAGGCGCCCCCCTCCGCACTCCCGAGGCGGCCTCGGAGGTGCTCTCCACCCAGAGGAAGGGGGATGTCAACCTTCCGGGGCCGGACATCCCGGGCTGGCCCCTTCTCCTCGCACCTCCGCGGTACCCCTTTGTCTCAGGCGGGGAAAGTTGCCAACGTGCACCCCTTCCCCAACACGCCCCCTTGTGCGCCCATCCCCCGCAGGGAATCCAAGCCTGGGAGCACCTTCCGATCTGCGGCTCGCTCTCGAGCCGGGGCAGCCGCTTCGAAACCGAAAGCAAAGAGGAAGCAGGATCCGGCAGCACCCTCAGCCCGGTTGCCCGGTCGCCCGGTCTTCCAGTCACCGCATCATCCCCGGGCCCCCCGCACTCGTCGCTGGAGCCCCCGCGCGGCCACCTCTACCGGCGGCAGAAAGGCCTCTCCGCGGGCTTCCGGGGCACCTACCGGTGCGGGCAAGGGCAGGGCCGGGCCGGCCGCCCGCCGGGTGCAGGTGCGGCCAGGAGCGCCGTCTCCCCGGCTCGCTCTCGCTCCTCCTCCAGCACCGGTACTCGGGGCGCTCTCCTGCGCCGCCGCTCCCCGCCCCCACGCCCGGGGCTCGGGCTCCCCCCGCGTCGAGTTGCCGGCCGTGCCTCCCCCACGCCGCCGGCCCTCCCGCGCCGCGCCTAGTCCCGCATTGTATGCCCGTGCCCGCCGCGGCGGCGCGGAGCCCGGGGGGCTGCGGCCGCCGCTGCCCGGGCCGAACGGAGCCCCCGGCGGCGGCGGCGGCGGCGGCACTCACCCATAGTACGGATGCTGTGCAAACTGCACATGCTCGCGTCTGACAGGCGCGCTGCCTCTGGCCCCGTTTAACTCCTTGCTCGCCCGCTCCCCCGCTGAGTCCGCGGCCCCGCCGACCCCGCCGACCCCGCCGCTTCCCGCAGCCGGGAGTCGGCGGCACCCCGGGCGCCTGGAGGCAAGCCCTCGGCCGAGGCAGTGGCGCAGGTGGCTGCAGTGCACAGCTGCTCGGCCCTCCCGGCCCCTGCCACCCCGCCTGGCTCCGAGGTGTCCACTGGAGCCCGACGGAGAGGACTAACCAGGTCCCCTCACTTCCCAGCCTGTAGGAGTTGTGGGGACAGCGCTTGCGACATCCCCTGTGGCGATCCTGCAGGTCTTGACCACCGGAGCGCCACGGACCACGTGGTACTGCAGACCCACTCTGTGTCGGCATTGTGCTCCGCTCTATCCGTTCATTGAATCAGTCCTGCAAGGTCATTTTTATCAGCCCCATTTTCAAGATGAAGAAACTGAGGCCTGTGGAAATTAAGGAATTTGCCTAAGGCAGGACCTGAAGCTCCAAGACCCACAATTTGGTCTGTCCTGAAAAGATTGAACACAGGATGTTATTTCTGAGGTCCATCTAGATTCTTCTCTTGGACAGTGGAAAATAATGGGTGTCATCTGGAAAGCCTGGAGATTCTGGAATATGGATCTTGGGAAGTAGGTGAGAGGACCCTGATGTGAGATGGGCCCTCAGACCCTTCAGACAGGTCCTAGGTCCTGCAGAAAGACTGAGCAGGAGTGGGAATGTAATTGAACCCCTATCCCCACTCCAAGCCTCAGTTCCGACAGCCAAGAGGACAGGACGTTTTTAAAAAAATTATAGGTAATGCCTCCTGGAGCTACAGTCCATCCTAAGGGGGCCAAAGTCCTTTTCTCATACTCACACAGACCTTAGGTGTGCCTAGGCCTGATCTCTACTAGCCCTCTAAGCCTGTTTTTCCCACCTGCCACCGTGACTAAGAGTTCTCACAGGCCCAGGGCAGCAGTGAGTCTTCAAAAAAAAGGCAACTGAGATTCATCCAGCTGGGCTTGGCCCATCCTGGGTGAGAAGTTTTGCTGCTTTCCTACTACCTGAACCTAATCTGATCTTATACCTCCTAATTGCTTAGTGAGGCCATTGTTCCATCAATCTCCTGCCTCTGGCCAGGATATTCAAAGATCAACAAAGGTGCATCCAACTAGGGATGGGCAATGTAGACAAGGAATTCTAAGGCCATCCCATACACACCTAGTTCTTGGGCTGGTTGAGTCATTCTTTGCAGAAGGAAAGCACTGGGGTCCGATGAGGGTAGAAAGAGTTATATTGGACTTCTCAAGCCAGTGTAGGATGTACGCAGCCATGTGTTGCCAGTAGCAAGAACTTTTGGCTTCCCTGAGTTAGTTTCCTCCTTAATAAGTATGTTGTGATGACCCAATGACATAGTGCATGTACTGTCCTCAGTATGCAGTGGACCTTTGATAACAGGAAAGTGTTTTCTGCTGGGGGTAAGGCAGGGAGTGGGGAGAAGGGATCAGCAAGGCATGTAGGTTGTCCCTGGAACACTATCAGAGAGGCAAGAGACAGCCCCCTCTCAGGAACACCTTGGCAAGAAGTGGCTTCAGTTAGTCTGGCAGCAAAGCCCACCTACTGAAGAGGGACCTCCCCTGTGCCTTCTTGTGTCCCAAGCCCAGTTCTGCTCTACTTCTCAGTCTGTGGCTGGTAGCTGACTTGGCTCCCTCCCTGGCTCTGGGAGGCAGCATTGCACAGAAGAAAGCATGATGGGTTGTTAAGGCAGATCTGAATTCCGGGTGACTTACCCATTTAGCACAATATGTGCAGTGCCTTGTGCTCATAATATCTTAGGGCTCACAAAAATGTTTAAATTTCTTTTAAAATCAGAGACAAAAAATAAACTTTGAGATCAAAGAAAATGCTTTCATATATAATATCAATATTTTCATCCTTAGAGTGGAAGCCATAGTATACAGAAGCCAAAGTGTCAGTTACAGAATCAAAAAGAAAGAAAGAAAAGGAACTAAGGCACAAGACCTTGGCATTAGCCAGTCTCTATATCGCTCTCACAAGGATTTAACTGAGTGGTCTGAGATTTCCTCATTCCTAAATTAGGAAGCATTGCTTCCTAACAAAAATTCATATAATACCTTACAATTAACATATCTTTTTCTTTGGGTTAAGTGGCTATTCTAACCCCCATTTTACAAATAAGGAAACCAAAGCTCAAAGAGACTGTATGGTTTGGTCAAGGCTATATTGTGTGTAAAGGCAGAATGCAGGTCAAACTCCGGTGTTCTGACACTCCTTCCAAGGTTCTGTATGTCTGCACCTAGAAAATGTCAAATAAAATTAGGTACATACAGGTACATATCCTCATTTACAAAATAGAAATGGCAATAATACCCATTGCCATTAAGCAATGCAAGCAACGTAAGCATAAGCAAGATAATTTAGGTATTTAGCATATTGACAGGCACATGTACATAGTTAAAAGTCTCTGACACAGTAAGCAGTTAATGCTAATTCTCTCCACATCTCTCTCCTACCATCAGGTAGGGAAAAAGAGAGTCTTTCAAGTGTCTTTGTAGTCTCTAAAGTGCCTTGGTAATGTTAGGTTCTCAGCCATATTTTCTGAAAGACAAGAACTACTCTGTCCTTCTACTAAGCAAACCATCCATAAAGGGGTTGCTCTTGTCCACTATAAGTAATTTTCTTGATGACTATCAAGGGGAACCAGAAAGACTTCTGCATACTTGTTAGAGAGACTTGGTTCCCTGGGGGTTGCCCTCTGACCACAAGTCAGGAGAGATATGGCTCAAGAGGGTGATTTCAGTGGGGGCACTGGGCCCACAGCCAGAACAGGAAGGACCTGGGAGGGAGCGTGAGTGTAGAAATTGGAAGCCAAGAGAGAACTGTCTCTTGCGTAGTACACTTATTTGTATAGTCCATGCCAGAAGCTGGGATAAGAAAAAGATAAGTGAAGTAGGAGCAGAGGAAGTATTGAAGTCAAAGGCAATCTCAAGTTTGGAATTATTTAGACCAACTTTACAGGAAAACAAGCTGAGTGAGAGGCAATTGGAGGAAGCTGAGGCCAATCCTCTCTAACAGGCATACAGAAGTCTTTCGGTTTTTCTTGAAAGTCATCAAGAAAATTGCTTGTGGTGGACAAGAATGACCCCTTCCTTTATGGATGATTTGCTTAGCAGAAGGGCAGAAAAGTTCTTGTCTCAGAGAATATGGGCATGGTCTTGGCAGTAAGAGAGGAGATCAAGACAATCATCTGGGCATTGTAAATGGGGGAGTCTCTTTGTAACAGTCCCTTCTAGAAATAGGAAGGACAGAGTCATAAAGAGACTAAAGAGAGTGAACCTACATCATTTAGGATTCTTTGGCTGCAAGCAACAGAAATCGACTTTAGCTATCTTAAGTCTAAAAGGAATTTCTTGAAAGGATATGATCAGGTGATTCACAGATCTGAAGGGAATGCTGGCAAAAGAGACTCAAAAAAGGCTCGAATCATAATGGCTTTGGGAGCCCACGTAATAGAAAGTAATTGAGAGTCTTCTCAGGGCTCTGCTGCCAAACACTGGACTTCACTCTTTTTCTCACTTCTGCTCAAGTGTTAGAGTCACATTTACTTAAGTTGAGTCATGCATCCGCCTCTTGGCCAGGGGTGGGTCAGCAGGATACTCTGACATTGCTCTACCAGTACCCCACATCATGGTTGAGAGGTAATCAGTGAGAGAGAAATCACAGTTCTGTTCTCCAAAGGAGGAGAAAGGCTGCTATGCTGCCCCATACAGTAAATGTCTATACCATGGGGGAAGCAGGCAGCCCAGGGAATTTACACCTGACTCCGTGCCCCTGTAAGCTCCTTGGCTGTGAAAGAAGGTGAAGGGAGAAACACATCAGTCTCAAGAAAGTAGGAGGAAGCTCTGAAAAGTATCAGGACAGGAACGCATAGGTTGCCGAATAAAATCAGTGCCTGTTGGTTTCTAATCTCCAGGCAGAAATTCTTTCCAATTTGCCTGGGGTTGGTACAGAGCTGGAAACAGACAGGTGTTTTATGGATTTTCCCAACTCTGAGCTCTGTGATAAGGGAAGCAAGTGCAAAAGGTTGTTATGGGTGCCCTTGAATGTTTGCAAAATGCCTTTGAAGGGTGGAAAGGGGAACCAGTAGAGGAGGAAGAGACATTAAACCCCAGGGAAATGGTCAAATTGACTGCAGGCTTATCAGAAGTTTTGCTATCCATATGTCTATGTGGGAAAGGGGTATGAACTTTCACAGAGCTCTCAAAATAGTGGGCATATTCCTACTTTGAGGATATTTAAAAGTCGTGTCCTCTCTCTTTTTTTACTTATCAAAAGGAAAATGCAATAGATAAGGACTATGCAGTATTCATGAACACCTTGAGCCTGAAAATGAAGAACTCACCATTCTATGATAATGTGAATTCATCCATAAAGGATTAAGACATTAATGTGTGTGCACTAAGACAGCTCTGAAAATTAGTACAGTTTCATGGGATCAGCAG